TTCTCTCTCGATCTCTAAAATTAAAACAAGTAATATAAAAAAAAAAAAAAAAAAAAAAATGTTTTTAAAGTCAATTCCTACTTTTTTTTTCACTATATTGCAGAAAGTCCTTTATAAATAATTTTCATTCATTTTTTTAGTTTATCTGGCGCCATCTATTGGTAGATATATGCAACTTAAATCTAAAAAAAAAACTAAAGTTAATGAATTAAATTTAATTACTGAATTAATATTTGAAAAAACTGTATTAACAGACAGTGTCCTCCACTACAAGTTCAAAAAAAATGTATTTGAACTTGAGTAGATGAATAAAAAGTATTTTATGAACGATTGAAAATTTGTGCAAGATATATATAGGGAGAGTGTGAGCTAATAGAAGGAATTGAAAAAAAAAAAAAAGAAGTAAATGACATAAAATATGTTCATTCAAGGACGATTTCATGAATTCTTTATTACTACTATTATTAATTTTGATAATATTTTTTGTTCATCTGTGTCATGAACAATCATATCACGAAATATTATCATGATTTGTATAATGACACCATATTTCTGTCATATCTTAAATGAAATTCACTAAGTTGCTTTTAAATCCTAAACTAAAATATTTAAAACTAGAGACTTAAAACTAAAAACTAAAAACAATTAAACTAGACTTAGTTAACATGGTTAGAGAGTTAGTTGGATAGATAGATAGATTAGTTGATAGATAGTTGGATTCATGGTACGATTGATGACTTACAGGTTAATTTGAAACTAGCTTGACCTGCTAGCAAACATTAATTAATGACTTGAATGACAACATTAACTAATGACTTGTCGAATTCGCAACATTTACTAACAACATTAATTAATGACTTGAAGAAATAACACCATTTACTAACGATTTAAATTAACAACATTAACTAATGACTTGAAGAAATAACAACATTTATTAACAACATTAATTAATGACTGGAAGAAATAACAACATTTACTAAGAACATTAACTAATGACTTGAAGAAATAACATTTACCAAGGGCTTGTGGACTAACGGCATTAACAACTTAGTATAAAAGTTCGACAGGTTTAACCGACTACCCCTAATAGTCTTCCCGAAAGGTAATGTGTCCTCTCCCCATCATCCGTTGGTTGACTATTCGTACGTTTGACGACTTTCGAGTGATCTCCCTATTTCTGTTCGAAGTTGTATATTAAATATATGTCTAGGAGCTTTGAATTCACGTAGTGATGCTTACTGAAAATCTGAACTGTGAATGATGCCTGATGCTATACAAATTATATATATGGCGGATTTAAACAAAGTATTATACCTCCTAACCACATTAGCTGCATCCATGTTTTGCTGAGTACGAAAAAAAAAAAACTGTCCAATATATTTTTTAATCATTCTGTGTTTATCAAATGCTGTTACTAAGATCTATAACAGTAATTAATATAATAACAGTTTGATTTAACAATTGTTTTGATATATATTTCTCATTTTAAATCATTTTGTATTTCTCATAATATTGTTACAAAGAAATATATAATTGTAATTAATGTAATAACAACTTAAATATAATAACTTATTATGGGTTAATTATAATTTAACATAATTAATTAAAATATAATTTAATTAATAAATTAATTTATTAGTACTATTATATTTATTTAAAAATTGTTTTAATATACTCTTTAGTGTATAAATAATATTTATAGTATAAATTTTTAATTGTTTAATTTTTTTTTATAATCCTAACTGAAAAAGTTTTTTTATGTGTTTGAAATTTTATGAATGGCCAAAGAATTTTAATGAACTGTCCTGTAATTTATAATTTGATTTATCAATACATTGCTAGAAGTTTTATAAACTATTCCTTAAATGAATTTTGAAAACTCTCGAATGTAAAGCAGTTAATGTATTTCATTTGTTAGTAATTGCCAACGTGCGAAACTATAGTGCAGGAGGGCTCAGATTCAAATCCGCTGGTGATGTTGATTGCAGTCACTGCTTTCAGGAACGACGAGACTCTATGACCATTGTGACAAGTTGCAACGACAGTCAGGTTGTCATATCTTTGTCAGATTTTCTACTGTACTCACTAAGTAAATGAGGCGCAATTACTCCTAAGGCCATATCATGGTGAATATACCGGTTCTCGTTGGATCACCGAAGTCAAGCATCATTGGGCGCGGTCAGTACTTGAGTGGGTGACCACCTGGGAACACCGCGTGCCGTTGGCATTCACAAATTTGGGATCTGAATGGCCGAGTGTCTAGCGCTCTGCCGCTCGGTGCCACAGGTTTCGGGTTCGAGTCCCGGTGGTGCCATGGATGTTTGTAGTGGTTCGGAATCCACTTTAAGCCGCAGGTCCCGGTCTCCCATCACTGTAAGAGCGTCACGGAGCCAAAGTCAGATTTCTACCTACGAGTGCTCCATCACAACAGAAGCTGCTTCCTTCCCCTTCAATCATGAGTACGTACGGGCTCGTGGGCTCGGCCAGCCAAGTGGGATAAGAAACAACAACAACATATCTTTCTAGTATTCATCAATTTCTTCTGCTGAATTTGTCCCTTTCAAAACTTAATAAGTCAAATTATCTCTTTCTATTTTGAGTTGCTGACAAAATAAATTCGTTAACTTTTCCATGTCATGGCTAAATATTTAGCCATTTTATATATTTTTTTTTCTTTGGTGGAGAATTTGACCAATCATCGTTACTCATGGATCTACGACACTACATCCACAATGTGGAATAAACAACATCAAAGGTGGTATATAGAAAGCTCTCATTATCCTCCTTTTTTTTTAACTAAACAGAAGGACTTGCAAGCCTATAGATTTATCCTGTCATACGGAGACTTTCGGTTCTGCCTCACCTATCTGGTTTCGAATCAAACTCTCTTGGGTATGAAAAACTATCACTAGGCAAATCTGGGCAACTTTATTACAAATAGAAATTTTAATTTTCAGTGAAGTTGTGACATGTACCTAAATTGATTTTTGGATACATATTCCAAAAGGCAAATTGCACGGTGCAATATACATTTTACTCATGCAATTATTAGCTACTCATGCAACTCATTAATCATTACTCATGCAACAGTTTTAGGGACCTGATGGCCGAGTGGCTAGCGCTCTGGTGCTCGGTACCAGAGGTTTCAGATTCGAGTCCCGGCGGTACCATGGATGTTTGTAGTGGTTCGGAATCCACTTTAAACTGTAGTTCCCGGTTTATTTAACCCTCGTATGCACATGATGACCGTAGAGCGACAAACCAAACCAAACCATGTAACTGTTTACTATTGAATAAAAAAGCCATTTAGATCTTTTTTATTTATCTCTATTTACATAAGAGCTAATTAATTCCCAAAATCTTTTAAACACAGATTATTCTTTTTTAATCCACCCTATTTACATTTCTGTACAAAAACCTCCAAGTCTATCCTCCTACCCTAACCTATTTTTCTATTAACAGAAACTATTATTATAATTATATTGTTATAATTATTCACATCAAACAAATTATGATATTTTGCGTATTAATATTTATGAACAAAAAAAGGATATAAAATGAGTCGTAGTAGGAAACGACCAACTTTGATGAATCTCGTGGCTCTGTCATCACCCTAGGATGGACGAGCTCTGTTGGGCGCACCTAAGCAATTAAAAGCGCTTTTTTGTAAGTGATATCTCCCTCCAGGCTGAATCTGAGCGACGCGCACCGTGCCTAAGTATAGAGTCATTATTTACACATTACATTCAAGTCCGACGCCGACTAGCAGCAAGAAGGGTTAGGCCATAAAGGGAAACAAAAAAAAAAAAAAATGGCCTACAAAGATATTTTTAGAGAAAAAAAAATTATACAATATGCCTTATGTTATGTTTTATTTAAAATTAAATAAATATAAGAAATTTTTTAATATAAATATAAGAAATTTTTGTTTTTAATTGAAATGTAATGTTAGATAAAATATGGCTAAAGAATTACAGTAATTCCATGTCAATAATCTACAGTCTCATATAAAGCTAAATTACCACCAGAGGCTGTTTAGGCTGTATTGTAAATTGCACTACCACTTAGCACTAGCATCATCATTAGGGACACAACAACCCCCATGGTAGGCCAAGGCCACTTGCTTACTGGCAGATTTCGGTACATAAGATGTTTTCCTTTTTACGGTATAGAGTTGTCAGCCGTAAGCCCAACAGTCATGTTAGACAGAGACCTACTGTTTAAAGTGCATTCCGAGTCACAATATATTACCACCAGATACTATAATCGCACATCGACTGGATTACCACCAAATACTACTATAATCGCACATCGACTGGATTATCCCAAATACTATAATCACACATCGACTGGATTACCACTAGATACTATAATCGCACATCGCACATCTATATGCGAGCCAATCCGAAGTTTGAGCTCTTCCCTATTCAAAATTCTGATTGGCTTACGTATATTAAACGTATATTACGTGGCTTACGTAGATATTATGCACCATGAGCGATAACGAAAGTACTTTCTGGCTTACAGATTTTACGTTTCAATCTTTAGTAGAGAATTCAGCTTCGCTTGCTATGTTCAAACCAGGTCAATCGAGCTTATAAAACCCAACGCTTAATCTACAAGAACTCTATGGTCCATTGTTTTAGGACAAAATTAGATAAAACACATCTCAAGCGAAAAATAATTTCGGAATAATAAATATAAGCTACTTTTACGGACTTTAAAGATATAGGATTAGTGGAGTTACATAAAAATACTTTTTATAATGTTGTTTGTAGGGGAAAAATAAAAGCATGAACAAGACACTTTCATTATGTATGAACTCATATGTACTATCGTTATTTCGAAGTGTTATTGTACTTAGTAAATGAAAATTAAGTACAATAACACTTCGAAATAACGATAGTACATATGAGTTCATACATAATGAAAGTGTCTTGTTCATGCTTTTATTTTTCCCCTACAAACAACATTATAAAATAACATTAATAAATGAAAATAAGTTAAGCATCATTGGGCGCGGTCAGTACTTGGGTGGGTGACCACCTGGGAACACTGCGTGCCGTTGGCAAATTTGGGACCTGAATGGTGGCCGAGTGCCTAGCGCTCTGGCGCTCGGTGCCACAGGTTTCGGGTTCGAATCCCGGCGGTGCCATGGATGTTTGTAGTGGTTCGGAATCCACTTTAAGCCGTAGGTCCCGGTCTTCTATGACTGTAAGAGCGTCACGCAGCAAAAGTCAGGCTTCTACCTACGGGTGCTCCATCAGAACAGAAGCTGCTTCCTTCCATTTCAATCATGAGTCCATATGGGCTCGTGGGCTTGGCCAGCCAAGTGGGATAAGAAACAACAACAACAAACATAAATGAAAATGTAAAGTATAATCATTCAATATGATGATCTTATCACTTTGCTAATTTAGTTATCTCAATTCAAAATAATTGTAAATTTAAAAAAAATTGTTATAGTTAATTTATAAGATATTTTTTAAAGTCTGATATACTTTTACTAAGGCCTGAATGGCCGAGTGGCTAGCGGTTTCGGTTTCGAGTCCCGGCGGTGCCATGGTTGTTTGTAGTGGTTCGGAATCCACTTTAAAAAGTAGGTCCCAGTCCTAATAGGATCCTAGAGCTTTGCGGGGCATTGTTACTCCGCGTTCGTGGCTTACCATCAAGTTACACGCGCCCCCTGGGTAATGCAAAGTGAGTAACGTCTGTGCAGCGCTTGCCTTAAGGCATCTAAGACCAAACTGTGTGTGTTTGCCAGCTGCATTAGAAAGAAAAAAAATACTTTTACTAATATTTGTTTCGTATTTTATTGAAATTGTACAAATATAAGAGGTATATAAATGATTGGAAAATCAGAAATGGAAAATTTATTCTCATGTTCTGTGATATTTATTTTTTTAATAAATATCTTAAATCAGATAAATATTAAATCATTAAAATAAATATCATTAATAAATAATAAATTATGCATAAATATTATTAATTAATTATATATAAATTATTATAATTATATATATGTTATATCAATTATTTATTCATTAAATATATATTATATTAAATATCTTAAATTACAATCATAACTTCATCATTTTTAAATTTTAGATTTAAAAATGATTCTCAATAATACAGCAAGCACGTAATAAAGGCCTTGCATCAATACTAATTTTATTTAAAACCTCAGAAATATAAATGATATAACTGAATCAATTTCTTCTTTATTTATAACGTTATTATATGCTAGAACATTATTTTCCATGTAATTACTTTATTTTGATAAATGATAGCTTAACCACAAATTTCAAATGGCATTGAGGTTTCTAACGGACACTTGGTGTAATTAACAAGTTATTTTAGTTTTGGTTATTTTTATTTGAAGTAGATATTATGTATGACGAAATTTTTGGCGGACATTAGATTAAATGTTATACAAATAATTAATTATATTGCTTAAAAATAAAAATATTTTATTATTGCGTAATGGCCTGTATCACATAAAAATAATATTTTTTTGTTGGTGTTGAATTTATATGGATCTCTTTCCACTTGCGTAAGCTACGAATAGCTCCTCCCGATTCGTGCATAGGTTCCAGTTTCGAATCCTGGCAGTGGCATGGATATTTGTGAGTGGTACGGAATCCACGTTAAACTGCAGGTCCCGGTCTGTTTAGCCCTCGTGTGCACAAGATGACCGTAGAGCGACAAACCAAACCAAACCCGATTATTAGTTCAATGGTAATGTGCGCTGCTAGTGAGCTTTAGGGCTGAGGTTGAATCCGCTGGCGGCATTGTTGTAGACTGTTTCAAAAACGAGGAGACTCGATGGCATTTGTGATGTTCAGCATCTTGCCTCGTGAGTCGGAATACCTGGTGGGAGGTTTTTAGGTTTTCCTCCATGTAAAATTCCCCTATTAATCCTCCCAGAGGCACTACCCTCCTTCTTCAGCGACACAAAACCAAGTCAGACTTCAACCTACGAGTGCTCCATCCCAACAGAAGCTGCCCCTTTCCCTCCACCCATGAGTAGATTTCTTATGGGATGTCCGTCACGCGCTGCAGCACACTGAGGATAAGTCATACCCACACAAACGATTCGTCAACTGGTGATGTGGGAAGAACATCATTTTAATGTCCAGCATTTGTGTGCGTATGGAAAAAACTCGGAAAACTCCTACTAGACAATCTGGCTATCGATACGATGCGTTTTATAAACATTTTTATAATCTCCATCTAGACTCCTCGTTTCTGATTAGATACTGAAATGGAACCACTTACGGCCAAAATATTAGCATGTGATTAGAATTTTCTGAATTCTTATTCTGAAATCGTCATTGCTATTTCCTCAATAAAATTTATCAAAGTAAAACATATATGCAGTTTGCTTAAGTAGAATGATGTTGAATGATTGTCAGTTGGTAATATGTTAGAAAAAAAAATTGAACACAATATTCTGTATGTTCATTTTCCTTATTGGTGAAACAAGCGAATATGTTTATTGTTCTACTTTTCATCGAAGTTAGACAAGCATATTTAATCAAAAATATTTTCATACAAAAAAATTCTCTTATATTCGTTTTAAGAGAAAATTGTGTAAAATCGTAATAAATAATCGTAATAAAGACATAATTTATTTGAATAAAAAATAAAATCAATACTTATTAATTACAAAACATAGATAATATGTTTCTATTCATGTTTTATTATTTCATACACCGTTGAAAATACAGATCGGTAGCAAATTCAACTTTTCAAAGAGTGCACTTGGGTGACGCTATTAAACTGCACCGCAATTTGCACTGAATTCAAAGTATCAGCTTTTGGATAGCCGGCACACCTTTTACCAACGGAGGTATTTCCATCCTACGGATTTCTCTAACTAGTCTTTTTTTACAGATATGAAAATTTCGTTTATGAGTATATAAAATTCAATATCGTTTATGGGTATGAGCAAAATTTATAATTTTGCAATTAACTTCTTAAGTAATTTCTATAGAAATTTACTTATTCTTGGCCTTGTATTCGCATTTTTTTTTTTTTTTTTTTTTTTCCTTATTTTCTAAAAATTTGTTATAATTATTTTTAGCAAATAATTTTTTGCAAATAATTTTAAGCAAATAGTTTTTTTAAAATTATTTTTCTTCGATTTAAAAACTGAATTGGCTTTTTGATGCATTGCACAATAATTTATCGCCTATTTTTAAATAAGTATTATTATATACTTTTTAATACATATTTTTTATACATCTTATTCCAAATATTTTAATGCTTGGATTACTTATAACTTACATACTGAGATAGCGGAACTCCGTTTCTTTCTGTTTTATTATATTCTTACCTCATGCGCTGACAAACAAAACTGAAAAAAGTCTAACTCATTTTAAATTAAATAAAAATTATAATTATTATATAGTTAAAAACAAATTTTCAATCTTTAAGATATACTAATAGTAATAAAAGCACGAAAAAACGCAATTAATGTTTTTCTTCTTTTTTAAACTATTTAATGAAACCCACTATCACCGATCTTATATGTTAATTGAAAATATAAAAATAAATAGCAATACAGGGTTGTGGTCGAATTTACAAACCTTTTTTTCTCGGAAATTCCATTATTTTTCGTTTATATAATGGCTTAGAATTTCATAATATTGTTCACCTTCCATAATAACCCACACTTTAAGCAGATTCACAAACCATGCGAAACGCAAAACTATCTGGTAGTTAAAATACCACAAAAACTTACCTGGGATCATAAGCATCCCAAAACATCCATAGCGATTCGTTGGAATCACTCTACCAACCATTCCCCCTCCCCGTCAAAAACCCCACCTCGGTCGAAAAAAAGAAACAGTTAAACAATTGCATACTTTCAAAATACATTACACCCATTTGTAAGTTGAACGTATATACCGTCCGAGTAAATTAGGAACTTAAAAATAAATAAATAAATAAATAAATAATAATAATAAAAGCATGGAGAAGATTAAATAGAAGAAAGAGGGAGAGTAATAATTTAATATTAATCACAAAGTGCACTAAAATTCTATAGATTACTTCAACGTTTAATTTAATATTAATCACAAAGTGCACAAAAATTCTACGGATTGCTTCAACGTTTAATTTAAAATGAATCCCTTAGTGCACTAAAATTCTACGGATTGCTTCAACGTTTAATTTAATGTTAATCACAAAGTACACTAAAATTCTATGGATTGCTTCAACGTTTAATTTAATATTAATCACAAAGTGCAATAATTCATTTCAAATTAAATAAAAATTATAATTTTTATATAATTAAACATAAATTTTCATCAATCTTTAAAATTTAATAATAGTAATAAAAGCAGGAAGATACTGAATTAATGTTTTTTTTTCTTAAAATATTCACTGAAAACGGGCATTGGCAGTCTTATATGTTAGTTAATATTAACTACAATTACATTTTAAAATTTATTAATTAATTAAATTAATAAAATTTTATTTTAGAATGGAAATTATAACAATAAATAGCAGCATAGAGGAGATGGTTAAAAACCTATCAGAGTTTACGAACCTTCTATTCTCGAAAATTCTATTCTTTTTTACAAAAAAATAGCCAATAGAGCAAAAATAAATAAACAAATTTCTCATCAGTATTTTCTATAATCGCCAACATGTGAACAAATATACTTTATTTCGAATACTGAGACTAAACTCTTATAATTTCATAAATATTGTTCGTTATTCGCAAGAACTCGCATCCTAAAACGGATTGACAAACCGTGCAAAACTATCTGGTAGTTAAAATACCACAAAATTTACCTGGGAAGTGATTCGTTAGAATCCCTGTACCAACCCCCCTAAAAAAACCCTCCCCGGTCAGAAAAAAATAAACAGTTAAACAATTGCATACTTTCAAATACATTATACCCATCAGTAAGTTGAACGCATATAGCGACTGAGTAAATTAAGAATTAAAAAAAAAATAATAATAATAATAAAAACATGGAGAAGATTAAATAAAAGAGAGTGTGCATGCGTAGGGGCGTCGAATAACTACCAGGGGGACCGCAAGAGGGGTGAGA